CACTGAAATGAAATGGCTGCACCCCAGAGAACCCCTTAGTCCTGGACAAACCAGGACAGTTGATCATCTTATTATTGGTTAAAATACATTACGGTAAGTAATTTCACCTTTTTTTTTAAAAAAAGATTTTCTTTATTTGACAGAGAGAGAGCACAGCAGGGGGAGGGGCAGAGGTAGAGGGAGAAGCCGACTCCCCACTGAGCAGGGAGCTTGATGTGGGACTCAATCCCAGGACCCAGGATCATGACCTGTTGCAAAGGTAGATGCCCAACTGACTAAGCTCCCCAGGCGCCCTCAACTGTTTCTTTTTAAGTGACATCTAATTAATAACTGTTAAGCATTATTAGAAAATTAAAAACTATAATGTGACTCTCATTATATTTCCATTGGCCAATACAGACTCTATGAGGTCTTAAACCCCAGGCTACACCCTGCCAGGGACAGAGGCGACAGGTGCCTTCCTTCAGCAACTGGCATGGAACACATCAACTACACTGTAGCATAAAATAAGTGGTGCAATTGCACAGGCTGTGAGAGTGGGGGACTGAAGGATGGGCATGGGTTTCCCAAGTTGGAGAGGAGAGAGGAGAACATTCCAGGCAGAGGGAACTGTCTGAGCAAAGACATGGAGGTGATCAGGTGAACTTTTGCACACTTGCTTGGAAAGAAGAACCTCTTCCAATCCCATTGATTTGGCAACTCTTACAACGTTGAGAAGTAGGCTCACAGAGCTTCAGCCTTCCACCCAGTGTTTCTCCTCCAGTTCAGCTGGTTTCTTCCTCATGGATGTTTGCACATCTGCTGTGGTCCTGCCAGGGCCACACTGACTAGTCAGGGTTATTGCCGTGCTTGTGTTTTCTCCGTCAGTTTATTCTTACCGAGATCTCTCAGGGTTGCAGCACACTGGTGTCAATATCTGTAAATAACAGACATGCAGGGGAGCCATGGCTTCTTACAGAGACAGACCAGAGTCTGCTAGGGAAAATGCAGCTTATTCCAGATTTGTCAGAGACTGGTTGTGAAGTCTGTTAATTTTGCCTGGTTTCTAGCTACATTTATAGATTGCTTATTGTGTGCCAGGCACGATGCTAGTTTTGCTTGTGTTATCTAAAAACCCTAGGAAGGGCTGTGCTATCACCATTACCTGAACGAGAAGCCTGAAGCTTGCTGAGGTTGGTTGGTCAAGATCACAAAGCCAGAACAGCCAAAATTCACACCCAAAGCCTGGGCTTCTTACTTCCTTGTACTCTTCCACTCTAGGCAGTTCTACCAAGAGATCAGAGAAGCCTAGGACAGAATTTAGAAAACAGGGATTGGGTATTTATTAAGTGAAGGCCTTGTCAGGCAAAACTGTGGAATGTGTTGGCTAAAATGCTACCTGTAGAAATGCTTACTTGAGTTGTTCAGCCCTCATCTTTTATCAAATACTGATAAGGAGTCATCTGAAGACCTCGTCAGCTTGCTTGCTTGCTTACTTGCTTGCTTGCTTGCTTCCTTCCTTAATTTTTTTTTAAAAGATTTTATTTATTTACTTGACAGAGAGGGAGAGAGAGCACAAGAAGGGGGAGCAGCAGGCAGAGGGAGAAGCAGGCTCCTTACTGAGCAGGTAGCCTGATATGCAGGGCTCAATCCCAGGACCCCAGGATCATGACCTGAGCCTTAGGCAGATACTTAACGGACTGAGCCACCCCCTCTCCTTATTTCTGAAGCCACTGACCACCCACCTCCACCGTGATTGCTCAGTCCCCTTCATCCTCCATGAATCACTCCCTGGAAAACTCTCAAGTTTCTTCTGATTGGGTGGAGACAATCACTAGACTTGTCCTAAAACAGGGTGTCTCAGCTTCGGGTGAAGTGCGCTGGATATTTACACTCAGAATTATTTAGTTATTTGTGTCAAGATCTGATGAAAACAATTACATAAGAAAGAGGGCCTTAGGACATTAGCTCCAGTTTTACCTGGCAGGGAGGAGGTCCCTTGGGGAGTCAGACATGGGCTGATAAGTTTTGATGGATGAGTTTGGGTGGAGAAAGCATGAGGAACTGGGAGCCTTGGGCATGGGGGAGGCAAAGGTTACCAACACTGCCTCTAATCAAGATGGTGCGGACCACTGCTCAGATGGTGTGGACAAAGGCAAAACCCAAGCTGAGAACAGGGTTCTTAGGGGGCTTTAAGGGGGCTCGTAGACTTTGGAGTTAGAACCAGGTTCAAATCTAGCTTTGTCTAGTCTTTACCCGCTGACCTCTAGCAAATCTCTGCGCTTAATCACTAAGGAGTGGTATGGTCCTTCAAGTAGTTATTGCATCCCTAGTATGGGCTAGGGCCAGGTGATACACTCTCTGCGCCCCCAGGCTCTTTTGAGTGTTTCCAACGAGTGAGGCGATCTGTCTTAACAAACCACTTCAGTGTTGTATGCAAACCATCTGTTTGTATAAATGTTACAACTACAACTCTGCTGGCTTCTCCTGGGCAACCCTTAGGCTGGAAGCCCTTGATTTACTCCTGTCCAAGTCCTGTTCCCAGGAAGACCCCCATCTCTAAGCCTAAATTATGTATCCCTTGTTGTGCCCAGGACACTCTGTGCTTCTCATACGCACCTGGATTCCAGTCCTGTTTGTACTGTGTGCCTTGGGCAAGTCACTTTACTTGCAATTACTCTTCTCAAACTGGGTCAATAGCAAAGGAACTGCTTAGCAAAGCTCTTGGCCCAGGAGCAGGTACTTAAGAAATGCTAGCTGCTACTTTTATAATGTATTCAGCTCTTGACGGTAGAGATCTGGCCTGGTTTCTGCTATATCTCAGCACCTAGCACAGAGCCTAGACGAGCACACAGCTGGTACTCAAATATATGGTGTTCGTAGACAGAATAACAGTCCCTAAAGATGTTCAAATCCTAATTTGCAGAACCTGTCAAAATTACCTTACGTGGCAAAGGGGAATTAGGGTTGCAGATGGGATTAAGATTGCTAATCAGTTGTTTTAAAGATACCCTGGATTAACCAGCTGGGCTGATTGGAATCACAGGCCCTTAAAAGAGTTAGAGGAAGGAGCACCTGGGTCGCTCAGTTGGGTAAGCATCCCTTGATCTCAGTTCAGGTCTTGATCTTAGGGTGGTGAGTTCAAACCCCATGTTGGGCTCCAGGCTGGGTGTGAAGCTTACTTAACAACAACAACAAAAAAAGAGTCAGAGGAAGATGTGACTATAGAGAACAAGAGAGATGACAGTATGAGAAAGACTCAGTTGTTAAGTAGGCTTCACACCTCAGCCTGGGTGTGAAGCCTACTTAACAACAACAACAACAACAACAACAACAAAAGAGGAAGATGTGACTATAGAGAACAAGAGAGATGACAGTATGAGAAAGACTCACCTTTAAAGGTGGAAGAAGGGGCCACAGCCAAGGAATACGGAAAGTTTCTAGAAGTTGGAAAAGGTAAGGAAATGGATTCTTCCCTATAGTCTTCAGAAAGGAATGCATCCTGCCAACACCTTGAGTTTAGTTCAGTGAAACCCATAGGGGCATCTAAGCTACAGAACTGCAAGATAATAAATTTGTGACTACTTATTTATTATTAATTTTTTTAAAAAGACTTTATTTATCCATGAAAGACACACAGAGAGAGGAGCAGAGACATAGGCAGAGACAGAAGCAGGCTCCCCACAAGGAGCCAGATGGGGAATCAATCCTCGAATCTCACCTGGAGTCAAAGGCAGATGCCCAACCACCAAACCACCCAGGTGCTGGTATGATGTTTTTATTTTTTATTTTTTTAAAAATTTTTTATTATTTTTTAAAACAGCTTCAGGGGGATCCCTGGGTGGCGCAGCGGTTTGGCGCCTGCCTTTGGCCCAGGGCGCGATCCTGGAGACCCAGGATCGAATCCCACATCGGGCTCCCGGTGCATGGAGCCTGCTTCTCCCTCTGCCTGTGTCTCTGCCTCTCTCTCTCTCTGTGTGACTATCATAAAAAATATTAAAAAAATAAAAAAATAAAAAAAAAGAAAAATCAGAGGCTTTAAAAAAAAATAAAACAGCTTCAGTTTTTTTTTAATATAAATATTTTAAATTTATTTATTCAGAGAGAGAGAGGCAGAGACACAGGCAGAGGGAGAAGCAGGCTCCATGAAGGGAGCCCGAGGTGGGACTCAATCCTAGGACCCCAGGACCACACCCTGGGCCGAAGGCAGGGACTACACCGCTGAGCCACCCAGGGATCCCTGGTATGATTTTTTTAAAAGCAAAATTTTGGTAATGTGTTACAGTAGCATTGGAGAAACTGATATACCCTGCAAATTATTGTTTTTTTTTTTTAAATTTTATTTTTAAGTAATCTCTACACCCAATATGGAACTCACACAACCCTGAAATCCAGTGGCATGGCCTACTGACTGAGCCAGCCAGGTGCCCCCACTGTTCATTCCTATTACTGCTACTGAGCTGTTTGCGAGAGTTGATTTGTATTTTTCTCTCCCATTACTCTAGCAAGTCCTCAAGGTCAAGGAATAAGTTTGTCTTATTTACCATTAGTTTTTAGGTGCTTAAGAGGGCCTCGCACACAGTAGGCACTCAATACATGCTCCGAGCTTAATTAATACAACTAGTAAAATACCCATTCGTTCATGGGGTCCTCCAGTGCCTAACACGGCCTCTGGCACACAGCAGGAGCTCAATGAAAACTCATACTGAACCTATAGGTGGATCGAGTACTCCTCCCTGCCCTCGTGGCCCAGGCGGCCGTCCCCCTACACGGGGTCTTATCTCTTGCACGTCCCTTACTCAGGGATCAGACCGTGACCTCCTTAACCCCAAGTCTCTCCCCTGGCTCCCTCCCGCACCGAGCGCGGGGTCCCGGGGCACCTCGGAGGCCGCAGGGTGCAGTGCACCTTAGAGACCGCAGGGGGCGAGCGTGGCTCGGGAACTCCCGCCGCGGGGCTGGGACAGGGCGGGGCCCGAGGGCGGGTCGGCTCAGTGCGCAGGCGCCGATCCAGACGCCTCGCGCGGCCAGGGGCAGGCGGCCGCAGAGCAGTGCCGGCCGCGGCTCCAGTAGCAGCGAGTTCGAGCCCCGCTCCCGCTCCGCTTCGGTTCTCGCTCCGCCGGCCCTTGGGCCTCCCTCCGCCCGTCCTCGGCAGTCGCTGCGCATTGCGCTCTCCCCGCCGCCAGGATGCCGGTAACCGAGAAGGACCTGGCGGAGGACGCGCCGTGGAAGAAGATCCAGCAGAACACCTTCACGCGCTGGTGCAACGAGCACCTCAAGTGCGTGAACAAGCGCATCGGGAACCTGCAGACCGACCTGAGCGATGGCTTGCGGCTCATCGCGCTGCTCGAGGTGCTCAGCCAGAAGCGTATGTACCGCAAGTACCACCAGCGGCCCACCTTCCGCCAGATGCAGCTGGAGAACGTGTCCGTGGCGCTGGAGTTCCTGGACCGTGAGAGCATCAAGCTCGTGTCCATCGGTGAGTGCCCCGGTGTGCCCTCCGGTCCCCGCGCGCGCGCCCAGGGTGGGGGGGAGGCTGGGGCCCCCTGCTGCGAGCCCTTAGAGCTCCCCGGGAGCTGCGGGCCGGGTGTGGGCGCTGGGGAGGGGGGTTGCCCTCCCGGGGGCGGGGACGCCGGAGAGACCTAGGCCCCCTCCCCGGTGCCTCTCGCTGGGCTGGGGCTTCCTGTGATAGCTCCCCGCCCCGCGCCTCGCCGTGCGTCCTTGGGGGGCTGTGGGTCCCAGGCTCGGGTTGGGGCTGCACGGGGAGAGGAAGGGCTGTGGCATTTCTCCGCCCCCAGGGTTCCCCTGCGGGGAGCTGGAAACCCCTGGTCCGCGGTCCGTGAAGTGGGGTCCTGGGCCGATGCTCCCCGAGGCGCTCGCCCCGCTGCGCCCACCTCGGTGCGCTCAGTGGCGGACGAACGCGCGTTGGCCTTGCGCGCGGCGGGAGACCTGGGGAGGGACGGTTCCGCGGGCCGGGGCCTCGCCGCCCAGGTGGGCATGGGGACCTGGTACCCTCCCCCGCCGTCTCTGGCTTGGGTGCGCGCCGCGAGGTGGGAAGGGGAGCCGCGGGGGTGTGTCCTCCTCGCTGCCTCTGCTCCCAGCTTAGCTCTGGCCGGGTGCCTGGGGGTGAGCCCGCCCTGCGGCCCAGGTGATCATTTAGGGACAGTGGAGGTAGAGGAACTACTGTTTTGTAGGGAGCCCGGACTAGTGCACACTGTGTGCCAGCAGCCTTCCAAAGTTCCCAGTTCTTACACGTGGGGCGAGTTGGGGTGTCCTGAGACCTAATTTACAGACAAGGGGGGGGGGTCCAGAGGGTTAATTGATTTGCCCAAGGTCATGGAAGTGGGAAGGGTCTAGCTGAGAATTGACGGAAGTGGGTACAATGAAAGGAGACTGTGCCTTCCTCTCCTTGCCTTCCCTACACCAGAGTCTTCCTGAGAGGAGGGAGGGAGTTGGTGTCGGGTTCCTCTCCCCAGAGCTGGGTAGAGAGCATGAGGGTCAGGTCCCCACTAGGAACTGGACTCGTTGAAAGTTTCCAGGAGGGTCACAAGGCTGCTGAGGGTATGGGCTGTGACAGTAGGGTGAGGGGTCTGTAATGTGTGTGTGTGTGCAGTATGCGTGTATACACAGCATTTGTGTAAAGAGCATCTGGGTATACAGCGTGGGTGTGCAGAGAAAGTGTGTGCACCTACTTTGTGTGTGTCTGTGTACTGCCAGGTGAGTGTCTTGCCGGTGGAGCTGACCCAGGCCTGGGTCTGGGGTCTCTTCCTGAGAAAACCGGGCCTTATGGTAACTTCTGTGATAGGAAGAAAGGCTGGCGGTGGGTGTGGCTGCTGGGACTTTCTCCTAAGTAAAAGGGCTTCCCTCTAGGCTGAGTCTCCTCAGTCCTCTCCCTCCCCTTCCCCCACACCTGTCCTGGCTGGTAGGGCAGCTTCCTGCTTCCTGGGCCCAGGCAGCTGTCACCGCCCAGTCAGCACCGCGTCAGGGGTGTTCTCTGCAGAGCTGTGTAACACGCTTGCCTCTTCTTTTGGGGGGCCATCTCCTACAACTGGGGAAAGAGAACCCTAGAATCCTCCTGGATTTCTTCCCTTTTCAGAAACCAGCTTTCCTTCTGAGGAATCTCAAGGCCTGGCTGAGCTCAACTTGGATCACTTTTCCTTTGTTTTAAAAATGTGTATTTATTTAATTAAGTGAACAAAGAAACTTAAAGTAAACCAGGAGTATCCAAACATGACATGAAATCTCCTTAAAAGACAAAACCAAACAAACAAAAAAATGAAACCACAAGCACCAGAAAATCCTGGACTGCCTCATTTACCCACTGTTTACAGAGGCCACAGCTGCTTCCAGCGTGGCTTCCCATCAGTTTCCTGAACTTGGGGATCTCGTTCTAGACTTTGTCTGGTTCCTTACATTTTTCTACTTGACCCTCGTGATTTTCATTCCTAAACCCACCCAGGCCATGGCATCTTCTATCGTCCTGACATTCCAGGGTTAGCCTCCCCTTCTTTGGTTGTGGGCCCGTGGGCTATTGGCAGCTACTTGCTGTGCACGTCTTACCACAACAGGTTACATTGCTTTATTTGCTCCTTTTAAATTATTTCTTGGATTATATCCCCCAAAGTGACATTCCTGGGTCAAAGAGTGTGGCCACTTTTATGACTTCTGTCATTGGCTGCCTCGTTGCTCTCCAGAAAGATCTCGCAGTAAACAGGTTTTCCAGCCTCCGGAGCTTGGAGGGAGACTTGCCAAGTGCCAGAACTCCCGTGGGAGTGATGCCTGGGGCCTCTTCGCCGTGTTCCTGGGGCTGTTCAGGGTAACGGCCCTTCAGAAAAAAGTCGCAGCCAGCTCAGACTTGAGTTCAAATATTCGCTGCTTATGCTGTGTTGCATTGTGCTGACAAAGGCGCTCGCTCTGAGTTTGGTGACATACACTAGGTGCACAGTGTGTTCTGTTCATCATCCCATTGATCACCAATAGAATCCTCATGATTTGTTTCCTTGTCTACATAATGATTTGCTTCAGCAAGTCACTGAGAGGGTAAAGGGCTTGCCCTAGTTCTGCCCCAGTGCCTAGAAGATGGTTGCTGTGTTTTCTGTGGTTGTTGTTAGTATTATGATCTCCATTTAAAGATGAGGCAACAGGAGTGAAATAACTTGCAGAGGTCACCCGGCTAGTAACGGTGACTGGAGGCTGGGCCTGTCCAGTTATGAAATTGACCCTTAACTGACCCGCTCTTCAGTATCGGAAATGAGTAAAACACAGCCCCTCTCCCATACCCAGAAAGCCCCTGTAACACCAGGTTTCGCAAGTCTGGGGTATTGAGGTGGCGTCTGGATACCCACACTTCGAACCTCTGGTCTTGAGCAAAGTAGGGATCTCAAAACTAGGTGAGTGACAGGATGAGGGTCCCATGAGATGAGTCAGGAGGTGAGGAGAGTCCGCTTGCATCTTGCATCAAGGTGAATTTGTTGAGGGAATAGCTGCTCTGTTTTCTCTGTTTTTTTGAGAGTGGGTGGTATTTCCTGCTACTTAATGGATGGTGTTTTACTCCATAATTTGGGAAGGTATCTTTGAATGAATACAGGGTGTTGTGTTCTTTGGATAACTTCCAACAATGTACATTGCTGGAATCATAAGAGTTGTGTACAGGCTCCCAGCTCTGAGACAGGAGATGGTCAGAAGCTGCCAGAGGACTGGCTTTTCTGCCTAGAATTCACTGAAAGACAGCTCTGGCTGTTTATTCACATTTGTGATTTGTTGTAAGGTGGACCCATTCTAGGCTGCATCCAAAAGTTGAAGATTTTCTTCAGTTTCATGTTCTGTCTTGGGCAGTTCCTAGCGAGGCCTCAGCATATTTAATCCTAGTTGCCTGCCAGGAGCTGGCAGTTTTATTTACTTGTTTTTCCAAAAACCTTTCTGACCCTGAGCAGCTCAGCCAGCTTGGAGAAAAAGGGGTCTCCCAGCCCAAGAATGACAATCAAGCCTGCCTAGAAGTTTGGGTGGTGTGTTTTGGTTTGATCCTTTAGAAAAAGGAATTCTTTCCTTTTCAGAGTATGCGGTCTGACCCTAATGTTGATTTAAGTTGCCCGTGCCAGGCCAGTGCCCAAGAGCAGGTGGGTGTGTATTTCCAAGACCTTCGGTCACTGGGTGGGGTTTCCAGGGTGGTGGGTCACCACGGGGCTTGGCCCCCTCTTCCTTCCTATTGTCCCACCCCCACCAAAATAACACACAAATACAATAATCCTAAATCCCGTTCTTTCCTGATCTAGCAAATGCCAGTGTGGCTTTTAGGCAAAGGTAGTAGAAGATGCTTTAAAAGTAGCCAAGTAGCATGCTTTCCTTGTCAGAATCCATGAGCTCTGGGCCATTTGCCACAAAATAACACAGTTGGAGATGTGGCTCTTGTAGTAGGAAAGAGCAAAGATTCTTGGTTCAAATCCCACTTGCCACTAAGTAGCTATTAAGAAACTTGGGTACCTTGGTTTCCGTATCACTAAAATGGGGATGATAACTACCTCCTTCAAAAGGTGGTTAGAAAAATTAAACACGTTAATATTTTCAAAAATGTTTAGAAAAGTTTGTAGCACATAGTAAGTGCTACGTGAATGTTTGCTAAAAAAAAAATAAATAAATAAAAAAATGCGGGTACTATCCAGTAGTATTCCCAAAAGTCCTTGCTGGAGGGTTTGCACACTGAAAGGACATTTAGAATCGGTGCTGCGCCGGGGAGACCAGCGTGGTTGGCTAGTGTTGCTGCTGCTTGCTCTAATAGGGCTGTGGACTGGCCTCCTTGGAAGGGGAGGACCCCTGGTTAGGTTACGGCTGCCTCAGGGGCCCATTCATACCAGCTTTGTTTCTGAGACCTGGACTGGAGCATGGGGCGGCCGGTCATTCCAGCCTTCCACCCTGTTCAGGAATCTCTGGGCCAAATCACTTCCAGATGGCAGTTGGGCTCTGAGCAGCTCCTCCAGCAACGACGGAGCCGGCGTGCCAGTCAGCAGCTGCCTTCGTTCTTGGAGAGTCTGTGCTGAAGGAGGGCTTTGATTGGGAACCAAGTTATGTCTCTTGGGCACTACCCCTCCCCTCCTTTTTTTTGTTTTTTGGTTTTTTTTTTAGATTTTATTTATTTATTCACAAGAGACACACACAGAGAGAGGCAGAGACACAGGCAGAGGGAGAAGCAGGCTCCCTGCGGGGAGCCCAATGCGGGACTCAGTCCCAGGATCACTTCCTGAGCCAAAGGCAGATGCTCAACCACTGAGCCACCCAGGTGTCCCAAGCCCTCCTGTCTCTGCCTGGATCCTGGTTCTGGGCTCTGAGGCAGATGCACGGCGTAGTTGAGGATGGCTGCCTTGCTCCCTGGGCAGCTGCTCAGGCTTCGAGCCTTTGGGCCCTGCTTGTGGTGGCTTCTGGGCAGGGGTATCACGTCATCCTACTTTCTCTATAAACAGCCTCCGGGTCAGCACACCCTAGGTT